AAGTACACTACTTATACAACCAACAGACTGGTTAAGGTTTGTTGTGTAAACATAGGTGGAAGTACACTACTTATACAACCAACAGACTGGTTAAGGTTTGTTGTGTAAACATAGGTGGAAGTACACTACTTATACAGCCAACAAACTGGTTAAGGTTTGTTGTGTAAACATAGGTGGAAGTACACTACTTATACAGCCAACAGACTGGTTAAGGTTTGTTGTGTAAAGACAGGTGGAAGTACACTACTTATACAGCCAACAGACTGCTTAAGGTTTGTAAAATCCAATAAAATAAAAAAATAAAAGAGTTAATGAATGTAATGAATTAAAAAAATATATACAATAAAATTAGAAAATTAAGAGTTAATTAACACAAAGAATTAAAAAATATATGAGAAAGAAATACAATAAAATTATAAGGATTAATTGACAGTTTCAGTAGCTTCAACAATATACTGAGTTTTAGTGTTTTTTGTAAGTGCAGAATACGAAGACTTGACTCGTATAGATAATAATATCTGTGGCATATCATCTTTCAATAACTAACCTTAAAACAACTAACATCTAAACTGTCAAAAAAAATATTCTTTAGCTATTCCAAAGTGGTTATTAAATGAGATTATGAAGAGATTAAAAAAAACATTTAAAACACAAACCATTTTCTTGAGCAAACCGACTGGCCTCAAGAAAACTAACTTCACGATCATCTTCCAGATCCTTTTTGTTCCCAGCTAGAAGAATCATTATGTTAGGACTGGCTAACGTTCTAGCATCAGTTAACCAATTTGTCAAGGCATTGTAGGTTTCTCGACTGCCAAGTAAGGTAGGAAAGAAGAAAAAAATTAGAATTACTGAAACAGTGATTAAATGAGATTTGACATTTCTTGTCCTGAATAATACTAAGCAGTATTTCTTTGTACTACCTACACCTGATATGAAAGTAGCAATAATAAAATACACACTAACATTTTTGGGACTGACCTCATAACTATTTTGTGCTTGTTATAGTTGTCATGCTATAACTTTTAAATTAGTAAGCAAATGTTAATGAGATTATCAGTTAACATTACAGAGCTTTCATACACAAAATATCAGATTTTTTTTATTAAGTCTTAAGGTTTGTTAAGCAATGTTTAACTCATGCCTCTTTTGTTTTCACATGTTGCTTATCCAACATGCAAAGTTATTTTATTTTATGATTAAAAATACTTTTATGCATCAGAAAATATTCAAATTTCACAAGCAAAACCTATATAACATTCAGATATTTATCAAACATTTTGTATGAAAAACTTTATATCTTATCTGTTATTTTCACCAACAAATCTCTGTACGAGTTTGGTCGATTTGACCGATCTTGTAACCACCATAAAAAAATAGGAAATAAATATAACTTGTGCCTTTTTTTTGTTCTAGAATGACTACAAATTATAACACAAATGTTTAGACTAAATAGCTTAAATCTCATGACATTATATATTTATTATTTTGTATTATATTGATCTTTCAGCCATACAGAAGTTACAATGGCACGGTGCATGTGCACTCATAATACCTTATCCAATAATATAAAACTGACCTTTGGTCTGTACAAAGTAACTTGTCTTGGCTTTGTTTTAGTACACTAGTATTTTGTAATATACAGTCATATTTCAATTATTATACATTATATATGTATATAGATTATAGCAATTTTGAAATAAGTTCTTAAACTTATTTTTCTTAAAACATAGAACAGTAAATAAAGAAGTAAAGCAACCAATTATCCCTTCTAGTTATGACCTTTGTACTTGTTTGCTGCTTGTTGTAGGTTGCTAAGCCTTATAAAATTTCGCACATGGAGGATGTGAAATGAAATAAATTATTCAGGTTTTATACATACATTTGAAGTAATAAAAAAAAATTACAAATTACTATATCAATACCATAGAATTCCACAATAATTTACCAAGCTTTACTAAGGTTCTATTTTATATTCTAGCTTATCAATATCGGTAATCTGAGTTCCTAATTCGTACGAAACTATAGACTTTGTATTTTGACATCACAAACATCTAACTAGGAACCAGTGCTGCATTCAACATGCCATGTGACACATAGGACGTACAGCTGAAGAATAAGAACAGTTGAGGACTTGCGAACCTTGTAAATAAAACTTTGAAGATGGCTACAAACCAAAAGAATTCAACTTTACGGCTTCTCTTCAAGTTGTTAGCTTATAAAGTATGTCTTCCATCTAAATCAATATGATTGGACTTGTTCAAAATAACTATCGTCTCCTTTTGGAGAATCAGCTCAATATCTTAAGCCAGTCCGATTCAAAAGTATAGTAACCCAAAGTTTAACTATATAAATAAAAGTTAAATAAGAACATGAAAATATATATACAGGCAGAATATAACTAAGCAGCCAACCACTACTGAGAGCAGATATACAGGGAATGTAAATAGCAATCAGGTTTTCTAATTTGAGGTTGACTCATTGTTACTACCAGTAGTGACGAGTTTTCCAAATCCTTAAGCTCAAGTGTACTTGTGTAAATCTTGTCACACTCTGTTGTACACAATACGTGTGAAATGTATACAACAACACAATGAAACAAGCAATATAATTTATAAATTTTTGGATTATAAATCATTTTAAGTATTGACTAGGGGAAAAACTTGTGTTTCATGTACGAAACATTTTACTGGTTGTGGTATTTTGTATTTGAATTCACATAATTTATTAAAAGTAAAGGCAGTGCTGTGTATTTAAAGTAATTAAAACCCTTATATGACCTGGCTAGACTACTCACGTAAGAGGTTAAAGTACATAGAGTCTAAAGGTCGTGCAGGGCGTATCAATGACTGCAAGGTTAAACCTATTCCATAACATCTGTAGCACAAAAAACACTTTAAGCTGAATGGTGTAATCAAATATATAACAATCCAGATGACTTATCTAGTAAGAGACACCAGATCTGGCAATGATTTCAAAACCTGGATATTGGGGGCAAGTATTAAAACCAAACAGAGTGACATAGAGTCTAAAGGTCGTGCAGGGCGTATCAATGACTGCAAGGTTAAACCTATTCCATAACATCTGTAGCACAAAAAACACTTTGAGCTGAATGGTGTAATCAAATATATAACAATCCAGATGACTTATCTAGTAAGAGACACCAGATCTGGCAATGATTTCAAAACCTGGATATTAAAACCAAACAGAGTGACAGTACTGGATCCCTAGATGAAGAAAGTCGCACACAAAACCGTAACATATAAACATTGCTGTCTGAGATGGGGCTCTGAAGGACAACAGATCCATTTCCCAAATACCTTTCCCTTTTAAATGTATAGTACTACCTCCACCCACTGTTCCCTTATGCATATAGTGATGTCATCCACATTTTTCTCTACTACTGATTTAATTTTTGCATAGTTTAAAAAGTTTCCCACACCTTACTATTTTAATTATATATATGTAGTTTTTCTCAAGAACATCTCACAAACTACATCAGCGTTGAGAAAAGTTAGTACATGTCAGTATCAATTAGACTACGATTCTGAATGTTTTTATAGTTATAATACTTATTTTTAAATTCTCAGAAATTTGATATAACCAGCTTCTTTGTTGTTTGAAGGTAAATATCAGAGTAATTATTCTGGGACTTAATTAATTATTAGACTACGTGTCAACAGTACTATAGTAAATAAACAGTTTTAAATGAAATAATAAATCTTGGTCTTTACCTGGTCATGTCATACACTAATAAGGCACCAGCAGCCCCTCTATAATAGCTTCTGGTCACAGACCTGCAATGTATGTTTACCGAAAAAAACTAAAAATTACACACATTATGCTCATAAGAGCATGCATTAAACACTTTTATTAAACTTAAATAATTCTTAAACGTTTTATCTTCAAGCAAAAGTTTAAAATAATTTTTGCATAGACTGTAGAATGTAACGATTTACAATTAATATCATCGATGAAATAAATGGTTCTTGCACTTGATATGCCCTATGTACATTTCATCACGAACACATCCAACAACACTGTGATAATCAGTGAAACATAATTACAAACAGGTTCAAGAGAATTTGATGACTGATAAACTGAAGTTAATTCTGAAGAAGAAGAATTGTATAATAGCTATTTTCTTCATATTGTAAATGTGCTCCAATTTTTTAAATAACATTTTATCATTCTGACACCACTAGGAACATTCTACACTTTTCCACCAAAGCAGAAACATAATTACAAAATAAAATAATAATGACATTAAGTTTACTGATCAAATGAATCCTTTCGTTTTCTTAGAAGAGTCTGTTCATTATGTGCAGAAGAAATAGATTATATAGACCTGCAAATGGTGACCAGAGAGAAATAACTGGACGTGTTGTGTGACATAAGACGAGGAGTGAAATATAAACAACTTACATACCCAAGTTATTCTACGCAAGTTCAGTTAATAATATCACTTGTACATATACACCGAAACTTAAATACAGATAACTTTCAGGAAGCTAAGACACTCAGTTTTCATCCATCAAGGTAGAGATGAGAGTCGGAGTTATAATTACAGTTACTTTATGTTTGTATGTTTATATTTATTATGGAGTTAAATAAATTAAATCAACTTGGATGCAAAGGATAAACACAAATCATCATTCAAGAGAAAATGATAATCCTAACACGAGAATTTTCCAGAAAATTAATCCAAAATAATGTACTATTATATAAATTTCTCAGCTAACTGAAATTTGGTCTATCTTCGGGATGGATGGCGGTAACTTTGATACAAAACATACACATGTCACGTTCCATGTGATGCACCATAGTCTATCACGGCAACATTTGTAAGTTCACTTAATCATAATTTGTGTATCAGTGGAGCTCGGGAAGAAACCCCACCAATAGTCTTTTCATGTATAACTACCCTAATAATATTTTCATGTATAACTACCCTGCAATCAGTGGAGCTCGGGAAGAAACCCTACCAATAGTCTTTTCATGTATAACTACCCTGCAATCAGTGGAGCTCGGGTTGAAACCCCCACCAATAATATTTTCATGTATAACTACCCTGCAATCAGTGGAGCTCAAGAAGAAACACCACCAATAATATTTTCATGTATAACTACCCTGCAATCAGTGGAGCTCGTTGGTGTTTCTTCCTAATAATATTTTCATGTATAACTACCCTGCAATCAGTGGAGCTCGGGAAGAAACCCTACCAATAGTCTTTTCATGTATAACTACCCTGCAATCAGTGGAGCTCGGGTTGAAACCCCCACCAATAATATTTTCATGTATAACTACCCTGCAATCAGTGGAGCTCAAGAAGAAACACCACCAATAATATTTTCATGTATAACTACCCTGCAATCAGTGGAGCTCAAGAAGAAACACCACCAATAATATTTTCATGTATAACTACCCTGCAATCAGTGGAGCTCAAGAAGAAACACCAACAATAATATTTTCATGTATAACTACCCTGCAATCAGTGAAGCTCAGGAAGAAACACCAACAATAATCTTTTCATGTATAACTACCCTGAATCATAGGTAGAGCTAGACAATAACTTAAATTATCAACATTTAAAAACTAGACAGGGTTATCAAAATTGCAAGAAAATATTTAGCTTAAGAAATTTTTATTCCACAAGTACTGGTTCTATGAATTAAGAAAAGTTCCTCCACTCGTAAAAAGTAAGAGTGTGATCTAGAGTTAACTAAGTTTAATAAAATATAAACGGTTGGTCCACAAAAGCCAGTTTATCAATACCATAATTTATGTATGAACTGAAATTTCTCAGTAGCATACAAGGTATTCAGCAAACCAGCAGCATCTTGAGTTTTAAAACAATTATATTATACAAATTAAACAGTAATTCATTATTTAAAATGACATTTTAAAACACTTACTTTATGGCTTTAACATTATACACAAAATTTTATTTTTTCTAAACTTCTTGTTACGTTGTTATAAATTAACATTGGATCAATCACCATTTTGTTGTTGATGCATTGTTGAAGTTGTCTGTTGTAAAGAATATGTAATTTTAATGTGCTCTGTTACTTCAATAATTATTTTAAAAAGTTAAGTCATCATCAAACATCTGTATTTGAACTGGCCATCGGTTATTTCTAGGCTTACCGTACTACTACTACTACTACTACCTTTATGCATTAACAAATTAAACCTTATATCTAAAATATATTAAACATACAAGAAGGATATAAAAAATGTACAAGTGACCCATACCATGAAATTGTTGTAAAAGTTAAGATATGGACAAAAATTGGCCTGGTGGCAAAAATGCTGATGGTAATTTATTTTAAGATTGGAAAAAATATGATTAATGGAGTTTCTGAAAGGTCAGTTCTGAAACATTTATTATTTACTATTCACATCAATGATTTAGATAACACCAAAATTGTGGTGATACTAAGTTAATAGCATATATTTCAGAGGGGAACAGATAAGGCAGGTCAATAAATTCAACTACCTGGGCAACATCAAATGGTAAATATGATCATGAAATAAAATGGAGAATAGAGGTGGCGAAAGATGCATTTCTGAAAATGAAAAAGATACTGAAAAATAATAAAATTTCTATGGTGATGAAGTTGAGAGTTTTGGATTGTTATATTATACCAGTTCTCACGTATACATCAGAATGTTGGACAATATTGCTAAGTATGGAAAAGATAATTAAAGAAATTGAGTTCTGGTTCTTAAGGCACATCTTGAAGGCATGTTAGACAAGTCACACCTCAAATGAAAATATTCTGTCAAGAGCATGTTGCAGGAGGAAGCTGCTGACTAACATCAGAAAAAGACATTTGGAGTTTCTTGGACACGTTATGAGGAAAGAAGAAATTGAAAGTCTGATCATAACTGGAAAGACTGAGGTTGACTTATGTCAAGAGTCTATCTAAATGGATGAATGTATCAACATTAGAAATTCTTTGTGTCTCAACAAGAAGAGATCTGTGGAAGACCATGGTCACCAATGTCCTGAGGGAGAGACTGACCAGGAAGTTGGAAGTAAGTTTCAATGTTGAGAAGTGTAAAAAAATCACCCGAGTTATAAAAACTTGAAGGGACTAGATTAGTGGTAGTTGATTAAACTGCCCAGCTCTAGAAGGGACCACCCTTTTCTACAAAAGGAATATTGCAGTAACTGGAAAAGTGATTACCAACACAATCTTCAAGTGGGTTTGTAATTGTCATGAAAAAAAGCAGAAAGAATTCTAGAATGTAATTACATAAAGTTTGAATTTTTTAGGAACATATCTACGTAAAACTGTTGTACCTGAAAGATATTAACACAATATAAAGAAGACAGAGGCAATCTACTAAAATTATAACTTGCTTAAAAAAAAAAAGAAGAGCCAAAATGATGGGCTTTGAAATTTTTATCTGTTTTCTTTGAAGGACAGAAAAAGAGATGTGTTGAATAGTATGTTTCCAATTCTTAGGAACTTGAATAATGTGACAATAACCATTTAATTGATAGAAGTCAGATACAGAATGTTTCTTTGGCAAGACTGTATCTCATTTAGAGTTAAACACTTGGAGAGTGGCTTACTTGACGATATGTGTATTATTTTAAACATTATTAGTATAACTGTGTGGATATTAAAGATGACATTGATATTAGTTTTTGACAAGTGGAAGAGACCTTCATGGATCAAAGCATCTGTCATTTTAATCTTTCTCATGTTCTCAAGAATTACAAAATGTACCTGACCTGAACCGCTCTTGACCTGCAGTATCCCATATCTGTAGCTTTACTGATCGACCTCCAACATTCACCACTTTTGACCCAAACTCAACACCAATTGTGTGACTTGAATCTGCTTTAACTACAGAAAAACACATTACTTCAACACTCTTAAAAATATCTTCCACTTACAGTCTACATGTATCGAAATATCATCTAAATAATCACTTTTACATTCAAAACTACTTGTACAGTTTACTTACCTAAATTATCACATACATAAAGAACATAACAATATCTATGTATTCCAAATACTTGTAATTGGTTATAAAAATATACATAAGACCGAAGCCTGAAAAGCTGTGACTTTCATTTTATTTTTTCCAAGTTAAAAAAGATGCATTATTATCTAGGGAAAATGTATGATTTTAAAAGTAAATCCTTCAAAAAGAATTTTTGAATCACACTATTAAAAATATTTAATGAAAAGAAATTAAATACACATAACTTACATTTATTTTCAATAAAATGGTGAAGTAAACAAGACTTTCCAGCGCCTGCACTTCCAATAACCAAAAACTTGAAAAGGAAATCTAAAAGATAAAAATTTAAGATTCCTTCCTATTTCTATGATGTGTACATATAAGTTATAATACCTTCATAAAAATACACAATAAATATCTTGAGTTTCAAACAAAACATTCCTAACAACAGTAAATGTAGTTAAATCACCAGGTCTTAAGTTGTTTTAGATTATCCAAGAAGTAATAGGATAAACGCACCTGATTTCCTTGTGTTATATTCTTAAGATAATAGGATGAGAAGACAAAATTCAAGGTTTTGAAAAGATATTTCTAAAAGAGTGATTGACTTATAGAATGAGTTATAACTGGTAATAGTGGATACCAGCACTTCTGCAGGAATTGAAGGGGAAGTGACAACTTCCTGGAAAAATAAATGGTTGGTTTAATTGTTTACATTTCTCAAGGGTAACTGATGACTTATAGAATGAGTTACAACTGGTAATAGTGGATACCAGCACTTCTGCAGGAATTGAAGGGGAAGTGACAACTTCCTGGAAAAATAAATGGTTGGTTTAATTGTTTACATTTCTCAAGGGTAACTGATGACTTATAGAATGAGTTACAACTGGTAATAGTGGATACCAGCACTTCTGTGGGAATTGAAGGGGAAATGACAACTTCCTGGAAAAATAAATGGTTGGTTTAATTGTTTACATTTCTCAAGGGTAACTGATGACTTAT